TCTCACCTCCACTGGGTGCCTCCCCATGGAATTTGTGTAGACCAGGGTTTATGGGGGTCCTGATTCAAGAGAGCTGCAGGTATTAGGTTCTAATTCTGCTGGGCTCCCTTTGAGCCCCCCCCCAATATGGGAAAGGACATAGCTTGGACCTTGGGGTTTAGATAGACTAGTAGTGTCAGAGTTAGGGGTCCTGATGAGGGCAGGATTTACTCTGGACTTGGGGTTCTCATGACAGCAGGGGTTGCTGGCTGCTTAGGGGTCCTGGTTTAAGAGCAATCTGTGGCCGAATTTAGGATCCTTTCATGGACTGGTTTAGGCAGCTGAGAGTAAGGAGTCAAACAGCTCTCCCCTGAGAGTTAGGATCCTGCTACCGACAGAGTTTGCCCTAACTTTGGGGTTCTGATATGAGTAGGTTAGGCTAAGGGATCTGTATTGAGTTTTGGGGTCCTCATGAATAAGGGTTACTTTAAACCTTTGCTTCCTCACCGGCACACAGCTGGCATCAGCTTTGAAATGCTCCTAACACATGTTGGTGGGGGTGGGAAATTGAAGAGAGGCGGGCTTGGCTTCACTTTGGGGGGTCCTGCTGTAGGCAGGCTTTATTTAATCCTTGGAACCCTTAGGAGACACTTAGCTTGGACTGGGATCCTGCTGTGATCATGCATAGTTTGAGGAGTGCCTTTCAGAGGTGCACAGAATTGGCTTTGGGTTTGGGGGTCCAGATGTGGGCAAGGTCCTTATGTAGACTGGGGTTTGGCTGCACAGATGAATGGTGAGATATGGGGGGAGGAGTGTCTCAGAATTGGGTACGTAGGCTTGGTGTTGATACTTATGATGTGGGTGGAGTCTGCTCTGGGATTTAGGGTGCTGGAGTGGCCGGGGGCAGCTTTAGAGCATTTGAGGTTCAAAACACAGCAGTGTGTGGACAGATTTTGGGACCCTGAGTTTGTCTCATCTTCGGTATCCCTTTGTGGATACAGCCATGGAGGATTCCAGGTCCTGAGGGTCATGTGGTTAGCCTGGGGACTTGGGGCTCATATTTGACCAGGTTTGTTTTGATTTGGGAATCCTAAGGTGGGTAGGGTTGGTTTTGAGTTTCAGTCTCTTTGTGTAAATGCAGCTGCTGGAGGATCTGGGGTTCTGAAGGAGTGACAGCTAGTCTGGAGACCTGGGGTTCAGTCTTGGGTAGGTATATTCTGGATTTGGGGATACCAGGGTAGGAAGGAAGCATTTGGTTTAATTTTGACATTCTTATGTAAATAAGTTGTTGGAGTAGTTGGGGTTCTAAGAGTGATGGCTAGCCTAGATACCTGAGGTTCAAACTTGGGGTTTGGGTTTGTTCTGAGTTTGGGGTCCCTGGATAGGCAAGGTTTGTTTTGCATTTTAGCATCTCTATATGCACACAGTAAGGGTTTGGGGGGCTACAGTAGTAGTTATCCTGGGAGAGTTGGGGGTTCAGCTTTGGGTAAATAGATATGTTTGTTCTAGGCTTGGGGGTTGTAGGATGGGCAGGTTTTATTTTGAATTTTAGCACCGTTGAATGAATATATACTTGGTGTGAGTTGTGTGTGTGTGTGTGTGTGTGTATGTGTGTGTTAGTGGTTAATGGGGGGGATTTGGACATTCAACTTTGTTCTGGGTTTGGGGGTTCCAGGATGGGAAGGTTTCTTCTGAATTTTAGCATCTGTATGTAGATACAGTTGATGGAAGCATCTAACAGTCACGGTAAGTCAAGATTTGGTCATGTTTGCTCGCATTTGGGTTGGGGGGGGTCCCTGGCGTGGGTAGGATTTAATGTTCAGTTTCTTTGAATGGCCATTGGGGGTGGAGGACTTGGGTTTCTGAGGCTATGATAGATAACTAGTAATCCTGAGACCTGGAGTTTAGTCTTGGCTGTCTTTGCTCTGGGTATTGAGGGTCCTGGGACTGGCTGGCTTCTTTTGTGTTTGTGCAGTCCTGTGTGGATACAGTTGATGGAGTTTTAGGGTTTTGACCTAGTTATTGTTGGCTTGAAGATTTGGGGTTCAATCTTGGGCAGATGTGCTCTGATATTGGGGTTCTAAGACCAGCAAGGTTCATCTCAGCTTCTGGAATGCTTGCACAGATAGCCTGGCTACAGAATTTGGGGTTCACTACTTAGGGTTGGTTTTGGATTCAGGATCTCACAGGGAAAAGGCCTGTCCTTGATTGGGGGGTGGTGGTCTGTTGAGGTCTAGTTTTGCTTCAAGTGATGACTTGCTTGGGTTCCTTATAAAGACAGAGGATCTGGGCTGCCAAGAGGGTCTTGCTGTGGATTGAGATTTGAGGTTCTGAGTAGCCTGAGCTTGCTCGAGTTTGGCAGACTGGAGCCAACAGACAGAATGTTTATAAACCAGGTCCACCTTTACATTTGGGGTCTAATGAGAAACCTGTGTGTTTGGAGTTAGGGGCCTCTTGAGTGGCCTGCGCTCCAAGGGGCCCTTCTAGATGGGGTTCAGGGTGGTTGGAGTTGACTTGGTCACCTTGGGACCTCTGGTAGTTAGATATATTTTGGAGACCCAGGCAGGAGTGGGCCGGGGCCCTTGCGTGGAAGGAGCTCATGGGTGCGGGAAGGGACTGGGCAGGGGCCACCTTGGTCCAGGAACTGCAGCCGCTGTAGGTTGAAGGGGATGCCGACCATCAGGTCCAGCTCCTCTTTGAGCTCCCGCACCGTCATGTCATTGCGGCAGTTGGCCACGCGGAACAGCTCCCCAGTCTCCTCCAGTTTCACCCGCAGGAAGAAGACGTCAGGGGCCAAATCTGGCGACACAATGGAGGCGCGCGGGTCCCCTGATTGTCCCTTAATCCGCGCGCGGGCACGGCTGGTAGGGGGAGCGGTGCGCGCGCCCGCCTTGGGGTCGTGCCGAGGGGTGCCCCCCTGCGGCTTCCGCGGCCGCACGCCCGCCCCCGCCACGTCCGCCGACCTCAGCATGGCCCGCGTCATCCCGCGCGTCATCACCGCCCCCGCTTGGGCCCCCGAGACGGGAGAGGGGGCGCCCACGCTTCCGGTTCCCCGCCACCTCCCGCCGCAGCCCTCGCCAGCCTCTTAGCGCTGTGGGGAATCGACTTCCGTCTGTCCAAGGCAGAATGCAAGATCAGGGAGAACCATCCGAAAACGCTAGGCCCGCCGTTTCTAAGGTGGGCTCCAGGACTGCCCCCATGTGCTTCCAGAACACAGTAACCCAAGCAGACCTGGATCACAAAGGAAGTGACCCAGGCTTGCGTGGAAACGGCATCAAGCCCATGCATCCTGACACTACAGCATCCTCGAGGGAGGAAAGTATGGAATACATTTCATGGGACAGGCTAGGCTAAAACCTTTTCAAGTAGAGCTCACACCGGGGGTGGGGGTGGGGACCTCAAATATCAGACCCAAGTAAGGTCTTCAGGGGTTGAAGGAAGCACCAGGGAAAGGGCAGGGAGCTAGAATACCTTTAGAAAACTGTTATTACCAAAATAAAATACAGCTTGAAAAAAATGCATTTGGTACAGCAGTTACAGAAATTTGGGCTGAGAGGCACTGTGGTCCAGGCCACCCACGCACCTGGGGATAGGGGTAGGGTTCAAGATGACATCCTTGACTATACAGTAAGCCAGTAACACAAAGGGGGAGGGGCTTAATCCTTTTATATCGAAGAGAGGTTCATTCTAAACAACAGATAACTCATTTGTACAGCGCCCAGGGTGGCCCTTTTTCCTGCAGAACTGGATCCCAAGGCTCCACCCATGCAAGGACAGCTCTCTACCTATCACTGAGCCATAGTCTACATGGCTGGCCTTGTTACCTGAAGGAACTGTTCACAATGGATCTCAGTGCCCAGATTCTACCTCAGAACACCGGTCTTTGTTCTTTTATTTTTGTTGTATTCAAGACAGGTTTCTGTGTAGCCCTGGCTGTCATGGAACTAGCTCTGTAGACCGGATGAGCTTAAACACAGTGATCGGCTTTCCTTTGCTTCGGGAGTGCTGGGATTAAAGGTGTGTGCCACCACCGCCCTGGCTTTTTGTTTTTCTTTATAGAAAATTATGCTCTGTAAAGAATCCAAGATTCCAGCTGATTTTAATAGAGCCATCTTCATTCACTTCGTAGGCAATAAAAGCTTGCTTGTTGTAGAAGCCCAGCAGTATGGTGTGTCTATTTGCTGTAGGCACACAACCTAGACTGTTCTTGTTTTTTTTTTTTTTTTTTAAATCTTTTGCCTCTAACTTTGATAAATTAACTCTGCCAAAGCAGCCCAAACGTCGTCTGTGCTTGCTGAGTTCTTTACACATTTCCCATTCTGTTTGGCAGTGTAGATTCTTCTTTTTAAATAACAAGATCAATGGCGTCTGGGGACCTACAAGGGGTATTCTGTATACCAGGAAATTCAACATAGAAGTTTACAGGATTTTTGTTGTTTTGTTTTTTAAGCTCCTGGGTCCCATGGGTTGCTCTCCCACCTTTGCCATGTTAAAATCAGAAACAAAGCTGGGGTAGACACAGGTACAGAGCCATACCCAAATGTCTACAGTATACAGAATTATTAATGAATGGAAAGCTTTTTAATCTATACAGCATCTTTCTGTTTTCTGTGTACTTAAACCAACATAGAGTATCTAACTCCTCAAACCAATGTTGCCTGGAGAAAGTGCTGGTCAAAATTATGGCTTCTTTTTTCTTTTGAGTCTAAAGTGTAAGTCAATATCCATGCATCTCAACAGTCAGCCTCCTTCTCCCACCTGAGTCCCTATTTTTGTTTGTTTGTTAGTTAGTTTTTGTTTTGTTTTTTTCGAGACAAGATTTCTCTGTGTAGCTTTGGAGCCCATCCTGGACTCACTCTAGACCAGGCTGTCCTTTGCCTCCCAAGTGCTGGGATTAAAGGCATATGCCACCACTGCCTGACTGAGTCCCTATTAAAAACAACCTAGGCTCGCTACTCTCAAAGACCAATACACATTTTTTCCCATCTCTGAAGGGAATATCCTGAGTACAGTGGTTTATAACAACAATACATGACCCTAGGGGAGCCCACAGCAGAGGACACAGTTCAAAGGTCACCAAAGCAGCTGCACGTGCAACAGTTCCAGAGCAGGTCACGACTTCCCACGACGTGTTTGTCCACTGTTGGGAGGCCAGTGTTACAGTCATATATTTTCTTCCTGTCAAGTTATTTACATATGTACAGTATTTCAGCTGGAGATAAAATACAATGCCATAAACTCCATTTTCTCAGAAAGGATTAGGGCAGCAAGCCCAGAGAAAACATACAAGCTTTTATTAAATTACTTTATTGGCAAGGGAAGCTGTATTTACGTTTGGTTTCCTTGGATAGGGTTTCCTTGGATAGGCAGGCCTGGAATTCTTTAGATTGACCTTGAACTCTTGATCTCCCTGTCCCAGTCTCTTAGGTGCTGGGGTTACAGATGTGAACAAACTATACCACACTCTGGTGGCGGGGATGGGGGGTGGGGGTGGGAGTTTAAGTAACACAGTCTCTCCTAAAACACAAACGGCTGGTCACAGCTGATCGTGTGGAAGCCAGAGAGTCACTGGTGCCGAGATCCACAACCTTTCTAAACTGCAAAGGATCAAGTCTGCACAGGTGGGAAGCACAGGGCTGCCCTATCACCTGAAATAGGCCTCCTTCAGAAGCTCCAATACAATTGGATCCCCTTCAAGTGACAGGCATGTGTACACTGAAGCCATCCCTGTGCACCCATGACAAGGTTGTGTGTGGCTTTACTTTTCCAGTATAGTGGTGTCTATTGCAGTCTGCATCTTTGGTTCTAGGGAAGCAAAAAATGAAACATCTTGGTCCAGGTCAGACTGCAGAGCCAAGAGAGTCTCTTCAACAACTTCAAGATGATGGTTCCCGGCATTTCTAAAATATGCTAAGGAGAGAAAAGTTGGAGTTATATGTGCCATGAACTGTGTTCTAGAACATATCCTAATTTTGTTGTCTTTTAAGCCGCATGTCAAGACACTGGATAAGTTTTCCATCAATATCCACATACTTAAGTCCTTTCACGTGAGAAGTGCCTTATTCCAAAACTATTTCAGAGATTTTAATGGTAGGCTGCCAGAAGTGATAGCGGCTTTAAAAATTAACCCTTTAGATGCTCCTTGTTCTGTGATGCATGAGAACTGGCATGTGTGACCAGCAGCACGGGGAGAAGGCTAGAAATGGACAAACAGGCCACACTATGGTGGAAGTAAGGCAGCACAGACAAACAGCTTGCACCCACTATCACTCAAGCTTAAACAGCCAAGTGGAGTCATACTGCAGAAGCACTGAGAGAGACTTTGGGCTTTCTTTCCTACTGGAACTGGAGCTGATAAATGTGCCCTGTCTAGAGAGTGATAGATAGTTTGTATCTGGTGTGCCCTTGTTAAACAAATGGGATTGTGTTCATCTCTTTAGCTGGCTTGTGCCTCCAGTGTGTTGCTATGCAGCCTGCTATAACTCCTTGGGGACCTAGCTGCTACCTGCCACAGCTAAGGTTAACTGAGAAGCCAGCAAGGCCCACACACCCTTCTCCAGCAGTGTCTGCCGCAGGGCCTTGGCCAGCAGAACCCTCACATTTGGCACAGGATCCGATGCCAGGCTCAGGAGGCTGGGAAGCAAGTGCTCCACAAATTGGTCCACAGGAACAGACTCTTCATTGACCACAGCCTGCAGAAATAAGAGCCACAGCCCAGCAGTGACTTTCTCAACATTTCAAAGCACACATACTTCTATAATTCTAACGATATCACTTTGGAACCTGTAGGTTTGAGAGCAGCGCACATGTGAACTTTTACATTTCAAGAACTGAATTTAGTTATAAAAGCGGTGGCTAATTTTCCTAACACCCTTCCAAAGAATGATTGACAAGAGCACAGGATCTAGAGGGAAACATGGGCTTTGGAGCCTGGTCGCCTTGTGGCCTCAGGTAAGTTGTTTAGCTTTTCTGCACCTGGCTTTTCTCAACTGCACAGTGGCTAACCCTTTGTACCAATCACGCAGCACAGTACCACCACACTGTACTTAGAACTTGTTCAGAACCCCGCCTCAGAGACAGGGACCCAGATGCTAGCCCAGGCTTGGGTGTCTGTAAGAGCTGGCCATGTCTGCTTGAGCACAGCAGCAGAGTGTGTGCAGTACACCCCTCCTTTCTTCTCACAACCGACCCTGGAGAGCAAAAGTAGCCTTGTTTTATGGTAAGAGTGCCACCAATGTGGTGGTGGTGGCACTGAAAGTCTTAGGACCAACAAGTGAGTGGGGACTTTAGCCAGGTGTGTGGCTTCTGGGTCCTGTGGGTGTTCATGGCAAGGCTAGCATCATTGCAACAATGTATAAGGCCATTAAGGGGCTCTAGGTGCCAAGCTTGCTGTAGGCAGCTGGACTGCATCAGACCAGCCAGCCTGGAACAGCACAGGAGGATACACTTTACTGTGTAGAGAGACTTGGTTGCCTAGGCCACTGGCAGGGAGCTCAGAGAGAGGTTCTAGGCCAACTAGGTCTCAATCCAGATCTGTCTTGTCACCCTGGTACCTTCTTCCCAGAGCTGTGTTCAGATCAAAATTAACAAGTCTCTGAGGTATGCTATCTCCTGAACATCCTTCCCTTGTTTTGTGTTTTTCTTGATTTTCTAAATCTTTAACATTAAGCTTTTTTTCTTAAAAAAAAAAAAAAAAAAAAAAGATCTTGTTAGTTTTTCTTGAACAAAATGGATTGGAATCATCTCTTGGTTTTCACATTATTTTCTACATTCTAGATAAATAATTAAAAACATAAAAGAAAAAATATTTCATTTCTGCTTTTGCTACACAATGAGGTGAATACTGATTTTTTTCTTCACAGATGGCTGTGCTGTGGAAAAATACTGGCTATGTTCCTCTAGACCGACAGGGGGCGCTGGTGAGTCTTCTCACTGCAGTTGTTTTTGAGGCAGGGTCAAGGGACTAAGTGGAGACAGACAGGGCCCCATCAAAGTGAACTGTGAGCACGGCTGGGCAAGCAGCTCCTGGAGATGGCGCCCCAATCCCTTTGCATTTGCGGTGCCAAAGACAGCATGACGAAACATCAGAACCCCAAACATCGCAGCATCAGAACCCTTATTACCCCAAACATCGCAGCATTACCAAAACCCTCAGCTTTCTACTCTAGTGGGGTCCTGCCTAGGTCACTTGACTGCCCTGGGGTTTATGCTTAACCTAAAACAATTATCCTTAAGGGCTAACAAATGTGCCATTACGTTCTACCGTGTTCCACTGGGTTCCATACCAGGAGGTCTTACTGGAGAGCCAAATGTACCAAGATGGCTGACATTCAGGTGAACTTCAGTCATGAGGAGGGGGTTGTAGAGGAGACAAGGGACATAAATTGTAAGCTTGGGGCATGAAAAGGGGTTTCTGCACCCTCCCCCTGAATGAAGTGTGACAGGAGTGGGCTGGGTCTGGAGGGAGAGCTGGCTGGCTCTTCACTGATTTCATCTCCACAATACCCAGTACACAACAGGTATCAACCGTGTGTGGGATGTGAACAGGGTGACTGGACAAGACGTTATAACTCCCAGCTGTTGAGTGTCCTCTAAGGTGAGGAACCTCAGTAAAGAAGCCCAGCCTCTGCCAGGGACAGGAACCTGTGGCTGTGCTGACCTGACAGATGCAGGCAAAAGCTTGCCTTCCACCCCACTTAGGGCAGTGCCAGAACCTGGAGACGAGCTCCTGCATGAAACTGAGCCCCTGAGCACACGCGCCATGGGAGTAGAACTTCCGCAGCATGGCCACCACCTGCAAGCAAAGTGAGAGAGCCAGCCTGAGGCAGGGCCCAGCAGAGCTGACTCGAAGCAGCACTCTCCACGGCCGGGGGTGGGGGGTGGAGAGTGGAGAGGGAGAGGGGCGGCCATTCTTATGTTTCTTGTCCATCTTTCCAATGGATTTACCAGCAAGAGAAAGTAGCTCAGTTCTCACTGGAACACACACGTTTAAATAAGTCATAATACATACATGCACACAGAACTCTGCAAGGGCAATGTAAACAGAGAAGGGGATTAACAGACAAATACATCAAGGAGAAGGATCCAGCTCTTAAAACACATCATCTTGTGAAATGTTGTAAATTATTACCTTTGAGGATATGGTACTTATATAAAATTTTAATACCATCAAGGAATTTAAAAATCATTATTTTCAAGTAAGACTGTCTTTCTCTCAGGGAGCTGGAGGCTATACACACAGAACAGGGTCATCTTTTCTAACCAAGGCCCCTCCCCTTTATGAATTATTCTACAAAGCTGTATAGAATTCAACAATAACAACAAACACACACACACATAAACAACAATAAAACCCTAAGCTATTATTTAAAGAGTTTCAAATACAAAATGATTCCTGCACATTTACCATCATGGAAGCATAAAATTAACAGAAGGGTAGCCTGAAAATTGCTAAAACAATAAAGCTTCTAACTTCAAAAATTAAAAAAGCTGGACTTACAGAGAAAACAACAAACATCCCAGAAAAAAAAAAAAAACAGTGTTAAAATGGGAAACAGAAAAAGAGTGTGCTGTTTACAAGAATGAGCTACGGGAAGGCTGGCTCCTTACTAGCTTGAAGGAAATCCAGCGCACTTGAGAAACTTTGTCTGCACATAACTTCAGGGCGACGTGCCTCAGGTAACCATGAACGTCGCTGGCGCTGTAGAGTTCCAAGATGAGGATCAGCTGCCTACAATCACAAGCAGGGGGACCCCTACCATTAGTTACTAGTCGATTCCGCTCCTTTCCTTCGGCGGCCGCGCGGGCGCAGCAGCAACAGCCAGAGCAGCGGGCGTGCTGAAGCCGCTGGCACCGAGTGCTTTGTAAAACCGGTTTGGGCGTTCAGGGCGTGGGTACCGAGGTTCCAGCATCGGGCTATGGTTGAAAGGCACACAAAGCCCTGCCCTACAACACACACAATGTAAAAGCAGCCGCAGGCCTGCACTTCCCAGGCCACACCATGCATGGGTCAGCGGGAGCGAGAGCCGAGTGGCGGATGGCGCCCTCGCTCTTTTTCCTGTGTTCTTTCGGCTCCATTTCTTTTTTATTTTGCTCGCTCTTTCCTTTGCTTTCAACATCGCTCTTTCCCCCCTCGTTCTTCTTTCTCATCCGCTTTCCCCTAGCTCGTTTATGCCCACTCTTTTCAAACCGTTTGTTTTTTACTGCTCGCTTCATCGCGGTCCCCTCTGCACCAGTCTGCGGGCAGCCCTTTCACTCTCGCTCTTTCTGGCTAGGTCTTCCCTTCACTCTCCAGACCCCCTCGCTTTTTCTTTTTCGTTAGCTCTTTTTCCCTTGCTCTTTCTCTCTAGCCCCCCCCCCCCAATCTCATTAGTTTTTTTTTAATCCCCCTTGCTCCTTCTCACTAGGTTTTTTCTCCTCGTTCTTCCCCGCTAGCTTTTTTTCCCTTGTTCTTTCTCGCTGGCTTTCCCCCCCCCTTGCTCCTTCTCGCCAGGTCTTTTTCCGTGTTCTTTCTTGCCAGGTATTTTTTTTTCCCTTGTTCTTTTCTCGCTAGGTTTTTTCCCCCGTGCTCCTTCTCGCTAGGTACTATTATTCCCTTGTACTTTCTCGCTGGGTATTTTTCCCTCGCTCATTCTCACTAGGTATTTTTCCCTCGTTCTTTCTCGTTAGGTCTTTCCCCCTTGCTCTTTCTCATTAGGTATGATTCCCATGCCCTTTCTCACTAGGTATTTTTCCCTCGCTCTTTCTCGCTAGGTATTTTTTCCCCTCGCTCTTTTCTTGCTAGGTCTTTTCCCTCTCTCTTTTCTAGCTGGGTCTTCTTTGCTTTTCCTCGCTAGGCTTTTTCACTCGCTCTTTCTCGCCAGGTCTTTCTTCCTCGCTCCTTTTCCCTTGTTTTTGCGATAGGACATTTTTCCTTGCTCTTTCTGTCTCACTCGCCGCGGCCCGAGAGCCCCCGCTCGGCTAGGGCGGAGAGTGGTGTGATTTGCAAGCAGGCAAAGGAAATGAAAAAGGGCGGGGAGGAAGCGGGCTGCGGCAGGCTGTTTCATATCGCTCCCGCGGTTTGCAGGGGAGGCAGTGGGGAGGGGGGATGAATATCGCTCCCCGCACAGTCCTTATCGCGGGCCTGGGGCTGCAATAAGCACAGTGATGGGAGATAGGGCCGGGCCGCCGAGGCCCAAGCCGGCTCCTGCCGCCAGGGGGAGCACGGCCGCTGTGCCGGGCCCAGGCTTGTTTTTCTCAATTCTTTTGAGTGTGCTGAGAACATGACATAATGACTAAACCTCAATCTCTCAAATTAAGCATAATGATTAAAGCTCACAGCAAAAAGAAAGTCTTCCAGTTTGCCCCTGGCACCGGCCAAATCATATCCTGAATAGCTGAAAATGCCAGATGGATTTCTTCAGAAAGATAATTATTTGAGAGATGACTAGTTGTGAATAATGAAAATGAAAACTAAAGATACTAAATGGCCCTCAACAAAAGCCCAAACAAGCACCCCACAAACAATCTCCCCATCACTAAAGTACATTCTCCACTTAGAGAAGGGGGCACTGAACTGCATTCTCCTTCATTATGGGTAAAGCCTAGAACATTCTTTGTGTTGACAGCAGACAGGAACTGAAGAGTGCTCCACATAGGCACGGAACAGCAGCAAGCCTCATGGGCGGGTACTTCTATTTAATAGCTGTCTCATCCAGAGGAGACCTTTTCAGACCTCAATGCTGCCCAACATTCTTTGGCTATTCAAGTGCAGGAGGCACCATGTGTCCTACGGAGAAGGCAGTACACAGAATGCTCAAGAAGGCTTTGCAAAACCACTCTGATTCAGGGGAAAACATTGAAGAGTGGGTGATTCATCTTTTATTTGCTTCAAATAAATTGCCTTATAGAACTGCAGAACACTCCAATTCCAGAGTGACTCTAGCCCTGTCTTCATGTGAAAATGGATGCCTCCCCAGAGACACAGGACATATATAACTCAGAGCTTCAGAATCCCGTTTATACCTTAACAAAAACAAGCTCTCTTTATCCAAAGGAGCACTGTGCTGCTGCTTCAGATGTCAGCTACAACGAGGGAAGGAGGCAACTTCCCAGCTTGTCTCCCAGGGCCCCGTTTTCACTCACTCTGCTAGTTCGTATCGGAACCTCCAGTTCTTGCTGCTGTCCGTCACTACAAACTCCTGCAGCTGGCGGAGGTGCTCTCTCCTCTTGTCTTCATGGAGCAGCTGTTGAGAATACAGCTCCATGAATGACATGCCAGCCTCAAGGTGACTCCAGCACTCCCTTTGTTTCTCTGCAGGCTATAAGTTTGTCACCAGCCAAAAGCATGTGTGTCTCCCTCATACCTAGCCACCTAGGACTCGGTGTGGCTGACACCCAGTGAAGCACCCCATGGACAACTGCTGCCTTTCCTCTTGGGGGAGGGTGTCCATGTCCCTGAAACCCGTGGGCTTCCCCACCCTGAGGAGGTGTGTCTTTGTGTTCAGTGGATGATGGCTCTGCTGCCCCTGCAAGGTCTGAATGGGGTCAGTGACCACCGAAGTCCCTAAAGTGACAAATGAGTTTCTCTAACTTCTAAGCTCTTGTTTTTATGCCCAATCACTTCCCTAGGGGAAGGAAACGGCAGGAGCAGAAGCGCTGCAGTGACTTGCAGGAAAGGTCTTCCTGTGTGCAGGGCTATGGTTTCCACAGGTGACCTCTGGGTAAGCCAGGTCACCCCTGGGGACCTTGAACTTTGCCATCCAGAACCCTTCATAAGAAGCACAGCCCTACTGGGTCCAAGCAGCAGCAGATGTATGAATGTCCATTTTAGATTCTGGGTGCATTTCAACTGCAGAGTGTGGCTGTCTTTCACTGCCACCAAGCTGCTAGCCCATGCTCAGTGGCAGACTGGGGAAGGCCTGCGTGATTTCAGCTTTCCCACCTTTAGGAAGTCATACAGGTGTTTAAGGACTCCTACACGCACTTCATCCAGATCCTTTAAAAACCCACTGAAGATGGGAACCAGGTCGGCTGCTGTCAACTGATCCCCGAGAATCACTGCCAGCTCATGAATGGAAAAGGCGAGGGTCCGCCGGACCTTCCACTAGGGGTGACAGCAGACACACGAATCAGCACGAGCAAGTGTAATTCAATGTTCCTAGCATTTCCCCAGAGGACAGTAAACAAGCCGGCTCATAGTCACAGGCAAAGTCAGGGCGACAAGCTGTGCTGCAGCCCCAGGGCCTCCTGCTCTGATGCCGCCCTCTTTCTGTCTGTGCCTCTCGACCAGACCCTTTACCTGACCATCAGAAGCCAGATGTGTCCTTCACACATTTCATATGTGTCCTTCAAGCAGTGCCAGTTCTGCCGGCCGAGGGTCAGGGCCACCCCAGGGAGGCTGTAGGCACAGTGCTTGGCGATGTCAGTGTCCACAGTCTGGGCTCTAGCTGGGTCAGTCATGGACACGAACTGGTCGAGCAGAGGCTGAGGGATTATATCCTGAGAAACAGGAGAAAGGAAATCATCACACTGCAAGGAGGGCCAGCGACAGCAGTGCAGGCTCTCACAGCCTGGGCTGTACAGAATACCAGAGGGAAAGCAGCACCTACAGTCAGCTGCCTCAAAGGGGGCACCTAGGCCACAGGTGCATGACCCATGCTCTCCAACAGCCCCGGAAGCTGGGCCCAAGGCTACCCTTGGGATTATTATTTCTCCTTTCCAACTGAAGAGAGGCCGCCCTGGTATAAACAGCACCTGTTTATGCCTGCCTCTGGAAGAGCAATGTGTGCCAATGACTTAGAATATTTAAGGAGCATATTTGTATGGCACAAGGGGCCAATCCATAAGAGGAATGCACCAACAAAAGAAACCTACAAAATTTTTGTGCCAAAAAAAAAGTCATTGTCTAAAACATTAGTCTGAGGTCGTCCCCCCTGTTTAGCTTTATTAACAGACTTTGAACACTACTTCGTAATTCTATTAGAGAAAATATTACCAATGCAGTTAACTAGATAAACAGTACTGAGATAAGGAAAGCACTGGGCTTCAGTGGCTGCTGCAAAGCTTAACTTAAGGAAGACAAAAGGCTAATCTACTTTGTTTTTTTGTTCTTTCCTTTTGTTTTAAGGAACAAACAAACCTGTACTTTAGATCTGTGCTCCTCAAGTGCCTCCGTCTCCAGGTGCTCACTGCTTCTATTCTGAGGCTCAGTTTGATCCTGTAGAGTTGATGGGACATGTCACCAACTGACACCAAAGGAGGACAGCGTCTTCATCCACCCCCATCCAAGGAACCGTCCTTCATGTCAGAAACAACAAGTGCATTTCCTGAGGGCATGGCATTTCTCCTGACAGCAGAACATGCACTTCTACACAGCGGCAGGCTCTGCACACGGTCCAGTCTCTACCTGTGCTCTGGAGAAGGAGCTCACAGCAGCTTCAAGGCTGCCTTATAGGCAGCCATGCTGACTGTTAAAGCGGTGAAGAACAACAGTGTGGGATGTCATCTGCCACTCTTTTAAGGCCTGGTCTCTTGTGTGTGGTCAATCAGCAGCCTTCAAGACAGCTCCAGAAAGAGGGGTAAGGGCGGATTTTCAGAAAGGACAGAGTAGGACCTGCAGTCTTGGCTTGGAGTCAGGCTGCAGTGCAGGTGGCAGGCATGGCAGTGAGGGAGGTTCGGCCAGCAGGGGACTATTGACTCAGTAAACTCTTCTGTGCTCTCACATGTGCAAACACTCCTAATGTTTGCTGATGAACCTTTGCATTAGGTTAACAATTAAAATGAGCAACAACATTCAATGGTGACATATCAGTCTTTGATCATTGATTAACATTAACTGAGATGGACCTGACCTTCTCCTTCAACCATAACACGGATGTTCAACTTGCACTTGAAATGTCATACTGTCTATTGTGCTAATGGATTCTGACAAATCAGCTCAATATATGATACGGGAGTCAATTAATACCCCAATAAATGCAATGTTTGCTCTGAGCATGCCACCAGGACCTTAGTGCCCAATGTTTACAGAGAAACATGCTGTCTATCTGAAGAGGAAACATGATGGCAGTAACATTTTGGTAGGGCATTCAAGGTCTCCTTTGGGCATGGTGCCTCCGATTCTCCACATGAATCAACAACACGCACTAACACGACACGGCTGGTATCAAATTCAGCACTTTAGGAAGGAATCCTGTCCAAGTCTTGAGTGAGCTCACTGTGGAGCACTGGCTTCAAGAGTGATCCATCCTGACCCAACACCACAAGCCCTGTGAGCTCACTTCTCCAAACAGCCCTGGAGCAGGGCGGCATACTGAGTGGTGTGAGGCACCACACCTTCCTGAGGAGAACCTGCGAGAGAGCCCTAGCTCTTCAGGACAGTCACATTTCCAACCACTCTGCCATCTGCACCTCCCCTCCCTCTGCAGCTGTGGCCAAGGAGAGCCAGGAGGAGAGCAAAGGCAGGAGGACTTTTGGGGTAGGGTTTCCTTCTTCTGTTGAGCACCCTATGCTGACATGGACAGACAGCACAGAGGTATGATCCACTCTGCCTCTCTTGAACATTGTGGGACAGGGGTGCTCTGCCGTCCACATGGTCTCAGTATTTGCAGCTGAGGCCCCTGGCTGACCTCATCTGCGCTCCAGGGTCAAGCTGAGATCCACCAGCTTAGCTTTTCACACACACCTCGGAAGACCTGGCTGAGGCGCTCTGCTGCCTTTTTCCAGTTCTGCCTCTGGTAAAGAGGCCCCAATACTAACACACTCCACCAGGGACAATGGACTAGACTTTTCTCCCCTATAGTTAGGGTTTCTACAGGCAGGTAACAAAGGAAACAGGCCCGTTTTCTTGGCATTTTATAGAAGCAACACAGGCATCCCATCCTTTCTTACTAACCTAAAGGCACCTTTGACAACTTAGACACTTGAGATTAAGATTGTGCCAGTCGCTCATTTGAACAGGCTTCGGGTGGGGATGATAAATTAATAACTACAGTCAGAATTTCAGTCCTGTCAACAGCAGTGTGCACTTGGCTCCTGAAGACCGTGGACTTGCAGAGTCTGATCACGCTGATTCACAGTGGCGAAAAGGCATCAACTTACCTGAGGACTGGGCAATGAGAGACCCCAGTTTAAACTGGGTCAAGTGAAAGCTAGGGGAACGGGAAGGTACATGGATGCCCAATATCAAGAGGGTTAGGAAGCTTCTAGAGAGCCAGGCAAGGAGGAAGTTCAGGCCCTTCTGGTTTCACTTGGGGCCCTGGTCTCACAAGGGTAGGAGAAAGCAGGTGACGCGGGCTTTCTCAAGTCTCTCCTCTGAGAAGGACCAGCACCAAGCGGCTGGGGATGAAAGGATGTCACTCTCTGTGGCCTTCGTCAAGTTAGAATTCACCCTCTTCTGTTATTAAAGACGTAAGTGACCGCCAGAAATGACCAGGACATTTACACTGTTAATCCCCCAGGAGCACTGCCTGTCATCCCCCCCCTCTCGGGGGGGGGGGTTGTTTCTGGTGCCCACCCTGTTCCCAATGAAGGGATTCAGGATGATCAATCACCTGATTGATTGGTTGTCTAGTTATCCAAAACATGACCTTAAGAATGAAATGAAATTTGCCATTTATCTTCTCTGCGGGGATGTATTAATAAAAGCAAGCATGGCTTTGTGATTTCTGTCACATCCTCAGTGGCTGAGGGACAGGGCAAGTACTTACTGTGCTCTGTAATATCCTGGCCACGGAGAGCTCATTCTGAGATGATGAAGCCGACAGGAGGATATGATTGTCGGAGACAGGGCTGGGATCTGAAACGGGCTCTTCGTTTAGACCTTCTGTCTGCCTGCCCTCGGGTTCATGAGTGGAGTCGAGCTGCGTTGCTCTCAGTGCGGCAGATAATACCTGAACTTGAGCTTCAAGAAGAGAAGTAGCAAGAATTTTAATAACTATATAGGGCTAGGTATGTGGTTCAGTTGGTAGAGTGTTTACCTAGCATTCAGAAAACCCTGTTTTGGATGCCCTGCCCCCATAAGATGGGTGTGACAGTGCTTACTTCTACATAATCCCAGCATGTGGGAGATGGCAGCAAAAAGACCAGCAGTTCAAAGTCACTCTCTATTACAAAGCAAGTACCAGACTAACTCGGGCTTTGTGAGAACCTGTCTCAAAAAAAAAAAAATTGTAAAAAGATTTTAATAATTGAATGTGGATCCTGGACTGACTTGAGGGGTATGCACCAAGCCTTGGCCTGGGAATGGGATTCTCCCTAGAGGCACATATGTGCACCTCCTCCAGAACTGGAGACTGTCTAGTACCAGACTCTGGAGTCTAAACAAGATCTCCCAGCCCAGTGTGATGCTGGCCACATCAGCCACACTGAGCACATATCTGGATTCAAACCACATTTGTCAGGAAGAATCAGTTCAACTCTATTGTCTCTCACAAAAGAACACAATGAGGTTACACAGGGAGAAGCTGGGAGGCCATCCTCCTTGACAAGGGTTGTCCCACTACCCGTTTATAAAGCAGGACGGCCTCCCTCCCACTCAGGCATATGCATGCGCATACATCTAAGTCTATTCTCACACTAGTGTGGTTGCTCTATGTGAACCGACAGAGTTTTCTACACAAATTAAAGCTGTATATCCCCATCTCCAGAGCATTGGGCACATGCACTACCTATCCGCCAAGTGCAGCACACCAGGCCCTCTGCAATAGCCAGAATATAAAATGTGTCATTTTTTTCTGCATCTCTGGGGGTACTGACTCCTTTGGGATCTGGGGAAAGCTAAGAGTCCTTTCTTACTGAGAAAGCAGCTATGTAAAATGTGCAGAACACTACAAACAATGGCTTTTCAGGAGCAGGAAAAATACCCGTGGCCTATCCCTTGACCTCCAGGGTGGGGATCCCTCCATTTTCTCTGCCCCCAGGAATGACCAGCTTCCTGCCCTATGCTGCTTCTGGATACCTCTCTGTCAGTCCTCACTACACCCTAGGCAGAGCTGCCTATACAACCCCCTCTGGCAAATGATGTCAGCCCCAGCAGCTCTTGTTATGGGAGGAAGGGGAGTGTCAGAGCAGCTATAGGAATGTGCTGGTCCATGTCCAACCCTCTGCCTGTAGCAGTCAGGCAGGGAATGCTTGTTTGTCCCTTGAACAACCACTGGGCTCCTTTACTTAGTCTCAGGGACAAAGACTAATCATGGGGCAATCTGAACCTTCACATTTCCTTTCCCCAAAGCATCACAGATCTTTGCCTTGTAACAGCACCAAGTTTTGCTTTCCCAGTTTCTCTGACTCAGGACAAACACAAGTCTAACACTGTTGATTGGCTGAGGACTAACTGGGGTATGCACGATACCGGGCATGGATTAGGAGACTGGCTCCGAGACCCCACATTTGGTGGGAGCATTAGTCATGACATAAAAAACACCTCAAAAAAGTTGTACTTTCCCTGGTTGCATAAGACAGAAACCTTAGGACTTAGTGAAGGCCTGAGGCAATGGGTTCCAAAAGGAGGGCCTCGCCGGGAGTGTGAAAAATGACATCACTGTCCCTGGAGCTAATAAACCTTCTGTAACCACAGGTATGCCCAAGCACTGTCCCCTGTTCTGTCAGGGTTCCCTCCAGGCTGTGCATACAGTGTCTGGAAACCCTCTTCACACAGTTCCTGTTTGGAGATATCAGACTGGATTAGGCATGACCCTGAGTAAGGATAGTTAAGAGATTATACCGACAGACATTGCAGCATAGGGGCCTTGGGGGGAAGGAAGCAGTCCTGTGCCATCCACAACACACAGACATCCTGTCTTTACCTTGAATGTCTGGGTCCTGCAGCAAATGCCCCTGCAGACTCTGCAGGACTTTCTGGATTTCGCTTCTGGCCACACAGCTGTCACATGTAGCCTCAGGTCCACTGTGGCTCTCTTCCAGGGGTCCAGCCCCACTCAGAAGCACCTCCACTTCTTTGCTTATGTCAGGCAGAGGAGTTCGCCAATACAGGAAAGTACTGAACGTGTCCTCAGAAGTCCCTGGACCTGCTTCATGGTCACTGTTGCTGAGGCAGCCACTGCCCCCTGGGAGCTCTGGGAAAGCCCCAATCCTCTCAGCTAAGGTTGGAGAAGAGCTCTGTGGCTGGCTCTCTGCAGTGACTGCAGAGGAGCTGCTGTCATGCCGGTGACCGGTCCTGACCGAGGCCTCTTCTGGAAGCAGGTCTGGCTCCACGTGCACTGCTGCTTTAGGACTAGAGCAAAGGAGGGAGCAAGCTCTCAGAGCCACAGAACATTAGGGAAGGAGGCAGAAGCAGGGGTCTCCACCCTCCTGCCATTGTGTCAGAAGACTGCTACCTCACAGCTGCGCTCAGTACCACTCTGTCCCCTGGGAGAAAGGTGTATACTAAAAATACCCCTAAAGTTTATCAGTACCCCAGAAGGGGCAGGCTTTGGAAAAACAGGCTCAGGCACCAGCAAGAGCTAACCGTGTGCCAGTCTCTTGGAAAGCCTTGATGAGGAAGACCTGGTCCCGGGAATGGCACAGCACAAGCACTGTGAGTGCAGGAGGAGGAAGTATGGAGGATGGGGACACTGAGTGCAGGAGGAGGAAGTATGGAGGATGGGGACACTGAGTGCAGGAGGAGGAAGTAAGGAGGAGGAGGACACTGAGTGCAGGAGGAGGAGGAGGAAGTATGGAGGGATGAGAAGGGTCTATATGCAAAGGTGTCAAGTGCCCACACAGTCCTACCTCACACTCTTGCATAAAGGAGTGCTTAAAAATTACCTCAATATGGTCAGTTCCTGACCACCATCTTCATAGGGCAAGCTAAAAAGCCAAAGATCAGACTTCACACTAGTAAGACACTGAGGGTCAACACAGCACACAGGGATGGGGCCTTTGTATACACAGAATGGCCCATGTCACAAATGTATGTCTGGAACACTTCACCTTTTTCCCTGTGTAAATTCTCCAAAGAACTCCATTACTCGAGGAGAGAAAGAATTTTCTTTACAGGTCATCATTTCATCCCCACACTCCGTGAAGATCTGATCTAACTGAAGAGATGTGGTAGCTCCGTTATTTATAACCTGGCAGTCATGTTTCGAAATCATTATTGCAATTACTTTTTGCTTCTTTACATAATTAAAGCTCTAATATTCCATCTTGCCCAGAAGGTCACTATTACTAAATCTGGAGATGAGATAATTGCTAGAATTCTAGATGGATGCTTGAGGTGAAGGGGGAGGGGGGGTTGTGCCAAGTATCCTGGCTGGAGCTTACCCGTTTGAGGAGTCTGCAGTGCAACTGGTGGGCCTGGGTGGTCCAGAGGCAAACCCAGAGTTCACCTCTTGGCTCGGTGGCCTGATGCTCAGGGTGCCATCCTCCCGAATGGACAGGCCAGTTTGGGGTGGGTTTGCAAATGTGGAGATAAAGGGGCCGAGTGACTGAAAGGCCGCTTGGCGCACCTGGAACCAGAGCACACAGTGTTGACCTGCAGCAGGGACCAGATCTGACACCAGGGAGGGACAGAGATGGTCGATCTCAAGTTTGCTACTTTCTAACCACCCACTAAAAGCCAAGTAAACCATTATCAATGGAAAAAAGGTACATTTAACCCCACAGCCTAGTCTTCATGTTTCTAGACTGTGAACTCCACTTACCACTAGACTTCATGAAGTCTGTAGGAAGACCTCACTGACAGTGTCCAACCTGCCTATGGCAGTATAGGAAAGAGAATAAAGCACTTAGAGATTTTTCTTCTCAATTCTGGCTTCTACATTGTACACTTTCCCCAAGTGTTGAACTGTGTGCCTCTTTCTTAGTATTTACCCCAAAGGCTTTGATATTTTAGTTACCCTAATTTTGATCTCACAACATCTAGCTCTGACTTCAGCCATCAATGAATGAAAGGGAAAAAAATATATAAGCCAGAAACCAAGACGGAAATTGGAGACAGCAGGACAGATGGAGAGATTGACACTTGGAGGCCAGTTGTGCAAGGACTCACCCATCGACAGGGATCACTGATGAGTCTGATGAAGAGGGGCGAGAGCTGGGTCCTACGGACCTCAGGGGAGGTGTTGCAGCTCACAGCCATGAAGCACTCCGTGCATGCTTTCCGCATCCCCCACATGTTATCGGAGCAGAGCTCAAAAAACGTTGGTATCTACCAGAGAAGCAAAAGCTACTCAAATATGAGTACCTGTAGATGGTCAGGACCTGTCCCAATAGCCTATAAAGGCAGAGCCACAGGGGCATAACAAAACAACAATAAAAAGATAACAGCAAAACATTCTCTAAAGGGATCACATAAAAGAAACAGTAGGAAAAGAAAGCATAGCTCTTTCACCACCTAACAAGTGATTTGGTTAAATTTAAGAAGATAATGGAGAAAACAACAAAGAGAAGGGCCAACACTCCTTTCTCAGCTAAATTAGACCAGCTCAAAAGTCAGAGACTCGGTGAATGGCAGACTCACCCAGCCACGGGCACTGTCTTTGACCAGGGTATTGTCAGGCTGTGGTAGCTGAGAGTAGACATGGGGCTCACGCTGTAATCCCAGCACTCAGAAGACTGAGGTGGAAGGATTACACATTTGAAGCTAGTCTGGGCTACACAGACTGTGAGAATATAAATAATTCCTGTCTACAGACATGCAAATTATGTCCAGAGGAAGGTAGATGACCTGTCTATTCCTCTGGAAGTCACTTGGATTCTGTGCTCTCTGATACTGTGGGGCTCTCCATTGAAATTGGCTGTTATATTTTTCTGGTTTCCTTTATTAGCAAATGAGTTAAATATAATTTTTTTACCTATGTTCATTTATGTCTACATGAAATTGGCCATTATATCTTTTAAATTTTATCTTTTAAAGAGCTTTGATTTTAATATCCTAATGTAAAACACTTAGCTGAAAACGTTTCACAAATGGGAGCATGGTGTGACAGAGGGAAGAGCCACCTACAGGAAAATGGCTGTGCTGGCCACTGCTGCCCCCACCAAAGACATCAACGAGATGCTCATGTTCTTGGGGCCTTCAGAGCAGAAGCCCAGGATAAATTGTCTTGGCTTACAATGGCGTTGATGTGGCTTACACTTTAAATAAATAAAATGTGCTTCTGAACTGAAATTTAAAAATCAATTTGGAGATGATCCTCTTTGAGGTTAAATTCCAACCGCAAAGCTAGAGCATTAATGAGAGACAGGTGCAGTCTGAGAGCCCAGCAGCCGCCCAGGCCAAGATAACCCAGTACAATCCCTGTCCTCGAGGTACCCATCTGTGAAACCCTCACAAGAGGTCCTATGAACAAAAGGATACAGGGGGTGAAAAAAAAAAACATTCTACAGCATGTGGGCAGGTGAGTCTGGGCAAGACAAGAATGCCCAAATACATTCCAGCTGAGCTAGCAGCGTGTGAGGGTCTCTCAATGGACAGGCAGAATGGTCTTAAGAAGAGCCACTGCATCACAGGAGTGAAAGTCATGGGGGGGGGGGCACTATAGGTGTGGTGTTCCATTGGCCACATCAGTCACATGAACTTTGACTCCCAGTTGAGATGTGTGGCCAGAGCTGAACCCAGCCAGACCAGCACAGTGGGGCAGATGTGGGGTGACTGCAGGCACGGTAGAAGAGATACTTTTTTTTTTTTTGATTTTTCGAGACAGGGTTTCTCCGTAGCTTTTGGTTCCTGTCCTGGAACTAGCTCTTGTAGACCAGGCTGGCCTCGAACTCACAGAGATCCGCCTGTCTCTGCCTCCCGAGTGCTGGGAATTAAAGGCATGAGCCACCACCGCCTGGCGAAGAGATACTTTTTAAAGAGACCTGAATGGTGACAAGGCTCTGTATTTTAACCCAGAAACCAAGAAAAATATGCCTAGTGTTTGCAGGCTCAAGGGCAAGAAAGAGCACCGGAAGGGGTGGTGAGGAGGCAGCAGAGAAAACACAGACAGAGGAGGCACAGGAGATGTGACCAGGAGTGGGAACAGCATCAAGGTCACAGGGCACAGCACAGTGTCTGGGCTCTCTGTGCCCACCCACTTGCCGACAGACTTGCAAAGCACATCAAGAAGTGTGGCAGCAATTATGATTGGCAAAGCTTCACATACCAAAAATTGCTCGGTGGCTTCTTGTCCAACAGCATGACAAATATCACCAAAATGCGTGGCGCATACCTGTGAAAGGCAAAGGCCTACCCATCATTTCTTTTTCTTTCTTTTTGTCTTAACAAATTGTAAAGCCTAACAAGCAGGAACTCTGAGAGCAATTATCCCTCTAGTCAGACAGCTAACAAGCCTGTACCAGGCCCATCGCCCACACAGCACCATGCCAGGTGCCTGCTGCATTGAAAACAGGGATTTACAGGAGGTTGCCCACTTCTTTGGCTTCCTGGCTCCTAATTGCTCTTGATGCATAATGCATTTGGTAGTGATAAGGCAGAGCCTGTTCGCTTCCCTGCATAGTGAACGAGACCCCCAGCCCTGACCATGCTTGTCACATAGCCTGAAGAGCAAGGTAGAAGCTGGGGCTTCACTACCTCTAAGTAGGGCTGAGAAAGCTAAATCTTGAGCAACCCAAAGGGAAACCAGGAATAGGGTGGAAGGTGCAGAGATGACAAGAGGGTTCTGGAACTAATCATTCCAAGGAATCAAAGAACCCGTGAGTCTGTCCAATGTTACCTAGCCAGCAGTGGCCCTGCCAAAGTTGACTAAACAAGTAGACAGGGATACTAGAGGGACAGACTGCAGTCTCTTATGCTCCCACCTTTCGAACTTGGAAGAGTTTCCCATCGCTGCACAGTTCACAGAACCGAGGCAGCAGCAGGCGCTTAACTATGTTCTTCTTCAGCATGGACGCCATTCTGCAGATTATCTGTATGCAACAAGAAGAGCAGGATGGCCTGACATACCAAAATGTCTCCATCACAGGGATAAAAAGACATGCATTTGAAATAGTCCTCAAATACCCAGGAAGGAAAACACAGGATACCTTTGAGTTCTGTCAAGTCAGATGGTCAGCAGAGGCCAAAGGTGTCCCTAACATTACCCAGATATGAGCTCTCCTGCAGCCCCATCAGTAGCTACCCAACCCCTACCATGCACCACCTGATTGATCTCCACTGGTTGTTTTACCTCCAGGCTGGTTACTGTCCCACTTTTCAGATGAAACCAGCACAGAGACGTGTCAAGTGGTGTACATACAAATGAAGAGCCTTGAGGTGAGACACAACCAAGGACACACAGGTAACACTGCTCCACACGGCTGTGGGTGAGCAGGCTTCACACTCCATCCCTGAGCCGAAAACTGAGACCCCAAGCAAACACTACAGGGTTACTGGTTTGAGAATTTAGGTTTGAGCCTTCCAGGAAAGCTGGAAAGAGTAGAGTACTTTAGGAGGAGGCCAGAAGGAAGCTAAGAAAGAAGAGCTCACCATCATGATGCTATCTTATCTGCCTCACTAGACAGTCTATGAACTGGGTACATACAGAGAAGATGATGAGGGTCACATGACTGCTGCCTGGAAAGCAGGATCTGGAACACTTCTCACAGCTAAGGTAACACTCTTCAGAGAAATGTAAGAGAATCTACTTTCTATTTTATCAACAAGATACAAAACAAAAACAAAATCTGCACAGGCATGGACCTAGCATCATTAAAAAATAAATAAAATGAGCATGAGACTAGAAAGTGTGATCCATAGTTTAAAAAACAAAACAAAGAAAAACCAGTACTCAGAAGTCAGAATTTACAAACTTTAAAAAGAACATAAAGCAGTCATTATAAACATGCTTGGGAACTACAAAGAAAAGATAGTTACAATTAATGAGCAGATAGAGACTCTCATCAAAGAAACAGAAACTACAGAATAGAATCACACAGTAACAGAGCAGCTTTGTAACAGGTGCCCTTGAATGGAACTGGACTGAGAAACAGCAAGTTAGGGAAGGTGTCAACTCTGGGTGTGCCTGTGTGAGCACCTCCAGGAAGAAGCTCCTGGCCCAAGAGTGCTTTAATCCACTAACCGGGGTGGAGGGGCCTGTCTGGGATGAAAGAGGTAATGAGGGCATCTGGGACTGGATCTGGCCCTGGCCTCTCCTATTCCTGTTCTCTTCTGCTCCCTGTCCTCCTTGATGTCAGCCATTCCAATCACGAACAGATGACAACCTCTGAAATTGCAAAAATAATAAAGCAAATAAGTATTTCCATCTTGTGAGTCCCTTTCATCAGCCACCGTCACAGCAGTGAGCTGCAGCTGTCCATAAGCCTTGGAGATCAACTGCCCTGTGAATAACAGCTACGTAAGTTCAGCAAACTCAAGAGTCAGCTAGTTGAAAGCAGTGAGAGCCAACCAAAAGGCAGAGATTGTATGTCTAGATGCCCTTAAAAGATGAAGGCCAGCCAGGAGTGTTGGCATAGGACTTCGATTTTGCACTCAAGAGTCTGAAACAGGAGGATTATGAGTTATGGTAAGTTCAAGACTGGCCGGGCCTACACAGTGACATTAGCTCAAAAAACTAAAAAGGAACTGCATTGCAAAGGAAGGAGTATGTGAAGGAACAAATCCCCAAACTTCCCAAACCCTGTAAAATCTAGGTTGCTCAACAAATAAGGAGTAGGATAACAAACATTGTTAGGATCCATTGTAAGAAGGAAAAAAAAAAAAGCTTGGGGAAGGTACTGTATCTATAAAAGCTTAAGAATGAAAGCTGATTTCAGAGAGAAACAGGAGACCCAATGGCAACAATGGCTTTAACACTTTACAAAAAGAAACAGAGCTATAGACCCACAGTTCTATACCCAGCAAAACTAACATAAAAAGTGAGGAAAGTAAGGACTCCTTTAAAACCAGAACCACTTGAAGGAAGTTCTTCACATGGAGAGAAATGACAGGAAGAGCAGTCATCAAAATTGGCAAAATTCAGCATAAAAAATGCTATTATCTTTCTCTTAGTAATTTCTTCAAAAGATATAACTTTTTTAAAAAAATGGATGGTCCTTGGACTTCCCACAGGGCAGGGAACCCTGACTGCTCTTTGGGCTGACGAGGGAGGGGGACTTGATTGGGGGAGGGGGAGGGAAAGGGGAGGCGGCGGT